AACTCTCCATGGGTATCTTGTGTCAGTGTATGTCTTATAAGTGAGACTGATGGCCTTTCTGCTCTAGAAGGTCTTCTCAAGGATGTTTGTGCAGCAGACAAACCTGGCTGATGGAGACTGTGTCTCCCTGGGAGCAAAGGGCTGGTATGCTTACTGCCTGTTATAAAACATCCAGGTTCCCTGAGCCCAGGGTACCTTTTGTGTGATGCATCCCACTGCACGTGCATGTCTGCTGGCCTGCTCCACAGCATCCTGAGGGAAATGGGGCCCAAAAGGCAGCACAAGTACTTGCTGATGCTATGATACTGCTGTGGTTATTAGTAATGAAGCCCTCTGATGACTTAGGAGTCTCTTGACACACCTCCCTTCCCTGAAGAGAAGGAAGTTTCCTGGATGGCTCAAAGTCAAGCAACCTGTCAAGGTAAAGGGTTCCAGGCAACTTCTCCCAGCAACTCCTTGCGCTTTTAATTCCACAAGAAAGGAAGAAGGGGTAGCATTTACCTTTCCTTGGACTCCATGCTTGGCTGGTCCCTGGGAATCTTCTGTAGGATGCTCGAGGTCAGAAGTGCTAGGACCGGGTCCTGATTCAGAGATTCCATCCCCTGGCCACCCTCTTTCTCCCTCCTAGAGCAAGGGGCCACAAACAACCCATGTACTGGGAAGCGTTTTAAACCTGGTTCACAGCAGCGTGGAAATGGTAAGGAGCATCACATCAGAGCTGGAAGCTGGGTGCTGTCCCCCTTGAGAAGGTTCTCTTCCAAATGCGTTTCCTGGTAGGGGACAGAGTCTCCTTGTAGTGACAAGTGGCAGGGTGGCTCCAGGATCTCTGTAGAGCAGGGACTCAGGGCACCATTCTGGAGGGATGGGGGAGGATTTGCCTTAGGGCCGCTTTTGTTTAGCATGCACCTTGTGCTTAGCTAAAGAGCACCTTAATGGGGTGGCTTTGTGATACTAAGAGAGATTGGGAAGGGCACCCCCAAGCCAACCCTGTGGGGTCTCCACTATGTAATAGAAAGTTCATGAAGTTTGGATCCTGGCAGACAGTTCAAATCTTGACTTTATCACCAAGTAGCTGGGGGACGAGCAGGCTGGGGCACTGCCTGCTGGGCTCCCTTCACGCCTGGTCTTTGTAGTGGCTTCTGGGAAGGTCAGTGGTAGCTATTTGACCCGAAGCCTGAAGTAGGCTGCATGGGAAGGGACAGAGATGGAGGGCTTACGAAGGGGGTGGGTGGTGGAGACCGCTGTCTGCAGAGATCAACTTGGACAATGTGTGGGAAGAGCTTCATGAAGTGGGAAGCGATGCCCTCCATGGTGAGGACTTCAGCTTTACACGGCATGAGTGTAACATGAGTTAACACGTGCGCCCGCTTAGAGCCCTGAAGTTGACCTTCATAACTGCTGTATGAAGAAGGCAGAGCAGGAATTACCAGGCCCTGCTCATGGGTGCAGAAACTGACACTCAGAGATGTAGGCACTTGCTGAGAGCCTCCCAGTGGGGCCACACAGTGAATTGTGGAGCCATGATTTGAAGCCAAATCTCCCACTGCAGAGCCAGCTCTCGCTGGGCCAGTATCAGACTGGGTGGGCTCATGCCCACCCCAGAGAGGACCAGTGTGTCCAGTGGGGAGCAGCCTCCCAGCCATCGCTGGAGACTTCAGCACATGGAAGCTGCTGCCTGCCTCAAGAGCTGATTTCTCTGTGGGCCGAGGACCCCGGAAAGGGAAGCGGACCAACCCATGATGGGAGTGGAGGTGAGTCTGATGGACAGGGGTCCCTGAAGAAAGCTGAGAGATAAGCCCTGGCAAGGGGGCCAGGGAGCACCAGGAGGCAGGGACCCCAGGGTCAGTGTGTCCCTGCACAGGACCGTCCCAGGACCAGCCACATCGTGTATTCCGAGAAGGTGAGGGAGGAGGCATAAAGGCAAGAACTGAGTTGCCTACAGCTCAAGAGTTTTGCGTTGGAACCAGCATTAGAAGAGCTGACTTTAAGAAGTCCAAGCTGTGTCTCTAGAGGCTGGAGAGAAAGAAAAGGGGTGCAGCTGGTGTTCTGGCAGAAGCCTGTAGGTGAGGGTCACGGCTCATGGTGGCCAGGAACCAGGATGGTCAACACAGCAGAATGACAACAGCTGAAGGCACTGAGGATTCATAGGGGATCCCCTTCTCCCCAGTGGTGGGGAGGGGGCCCTTCTGGCTAACAGGAAATTATGCTGTGGTCACTCAGGCAAATTTGGGGAGGATTACGGAAAATATACTGTACTTTCTGCCAGTAAGTGGGAAGGGACTCAGAGCATGCAGCTTGGGGTTACTATTACTATAAACGTGACCTATTTTTACTTACTGGCACGAGAAGCCCAAGTTATATTTCAGTGGAGGTGGGAAAGCCCTGTCAGTGTTACCAGTTTACAGCTTGTCCCTCTGTGCCTGAACCCCAAATCATAAGGTGGTTCCTAATGCGAATTCTTGCTTGGATACATGTTTCTCTGATCGGACTGCTTTCCCAACAACTGGCCTGGGGCTCTGTACTCTGGGAATGGGGGCTTGGATGAGGGAGAAGGGAAAACTCATTTGGAACTTGAGACTGAGGAGGTATGCTCTTAAGGGGATTGGGGGTGGGGACTGGGTACCTCATTGGTGATTCAGGGGGAGGCAGCCTCTGGGAAACCACTGGGACCAAGAGAGAAAAAAAAAGCAGGGGAGGTGGCAGTGGGACCAGACAGGAGGCTGCCAAAAAGCAAGCTTCACCAACTTGGAGAGTTTGTGTTGGGCTTGCATTTATCTCATTCATTCCAAATTATTGATTACCTCCTGTGAAACAGGCGCTGTTAGGACCGGAAGATGGAGGATGAGAGGAGATAGGCACGAGAATCAGACCTCTCATAGGAGCTTGAGGATGAGCCATGGGCGAACGTAACCCTGTTGTGCAGTTGGCAGCAATCAGAGCTGCGAGAAAGTCACAGAAAATGCGTGAGAGGGTGTGTGGAGGAGATTACACCTGGCTTGGGTTAGGGTTGCCATGAGACCCAGAAGGCATCATGGGAAAGGTGGAATTGGCCCATGAGAGGCACGTATTTTAACACGTAGAGATGGGAGTTGAAAGGCATCCTGGGTAGGGAAGGCAGGGTGGGCAAAAGCAGGGAGGTGGCAAGTTAAGTTAGAATCTGTACAGTAGAGCAGTTACTGTTCATTTGCATCCACGTGTGTGCTATATAAAGGTTTGAGCAGTAATTTGAGGAGATTTTAAGAGTGTTTTTCTTTAGGTGGAGAATCTTCTGTATTTTTTAAAATAATGATAAGGACGGCAATGATGGTGATGATGGTGATGATGGTGATGGTGATGATGATGGTGATGATGATAACATGAATTGTGATCAAGTTGATTGAGCCTTGAATTGCCAAGTTTGATTTTATTCTGTGGGCAAAGTAAACACATCACTGACTTGAAATCCTTCCCACCTCCCCGCCCCCAGTCTCTATGTTCCTCATTAAACTTGTCTTTGAGGGGACATTGCCCATCCAACCCAACCCTGAATAAGAACAAAGTTGTAGGAAGGAATGGCCAAGAAATAGTTTATTCTGAACAACGAACAAGGCTAACTTGAACACAGCCAGGAAATCCAGCATCTTGAGCTACTTCCAGCTCCTGCCCCTAATTCATGAACTCAACCCAGTGAGGGGCCCTAAGTGCTGCCAGGGTCACAGTGAAGAGAGAAGCAGCCCCGTTATTTCCTGGAGGGGACAGGATGGTGCCAATGGGAATCAACGAATGAAAAGTGTGCAAGACAAGTGGACACGTGGGCAACACCATCTAGAAATAGCCTGGGTTTGAAGGAGGAAAACAATATTTCTTTCCTTTTTTCAAATAAAAATATAAAACCACATAATACATTAAAATGTCTCTTAAGAAATCTAAGAGATGGCCTTGACAGTCCCAACGATTGATTTATGAGGTAAAAAGTGAAAGTTGGATGCAAAATAAAAACACAATTGAACTTTCAGAGGAAGGTACAGATATCAGAGACTCCAGGATGAAAAGTTCAAAGAATCTTAAACACCAGGCTTGTTTCTACAGAGAACTGACTGCCAAATGAATGAAACAGGAAAGTTTCTTTAAATGATGATAATGCAGACCAAAAAACCAGCTACCATTCGCAGAGTATTATGTGCTGGGTATATCACACACAGGATCTTTTTTTAACCCTACAACAACCCCCGAAGGTTAGTTTTATTATCCTCGTTTTAAAACGAGGAAACTGACACTCAAGGGATTACACAATTTGCCTGAGGTCTTCCGGTTAGTAAACAGCAGGGCTGGATTCTGGACACAGTCCTGATTCCAAGTCCAAGCTGTATCCCCTATGCTACAGCATCTCCCACTTCAAAGACAAAGTGCTCCCTGAACAGATCATAAAGTAGTTTGCTCTTTGTGTGAGCCCACCGTCCTCCTACACTTTCTAACCACCTGTGCTTCCTAATTTATCAGTGTGGAGCAGCCTCCTGGATGGCAGTTGGAGAGCCTCTTTAAGACAATGCCGATGAGATGACATAACCCCTTTTCAGGAAAGAAAACTTGGAAGGGGACGGAGACTCAGAGTTCTGCTGTGGGACTGGGTTTTGGGAGGAACTCTGCTGACACTCTATAGGAGAGACTGATGGTCAGTGACTTGACCTTCTGAATGGGCATCTACGGGCCATCCCAGCACCAGGGGTGGGGTGGGAGTGGAGACCTACTGAAATTAAAGGTGGAGATGGTGGAGAGCCATCTTAGAAGGTCAGAAAGACTGGCCTGACAGAGAAGGCAAAAGAAGACACTTCCGGCTTAGCTCCAGGATTCGGGAATGGTGTTTCCATAGGCTGGGCTAACACATCAGATGTTTGAGGGCTGCATTTTCGAAAGTACTGTCTTAAGAGTCAGGATGGACCGAATTGCAAAGTTGTGTTGGTCTAATTGCTTTGGGGGAGGGGAGTGCACTTCAAATATTAAGGTTTTATTTTGCCCGTGTAAACAACTTTATAAAGGTTTTGCATGTCCGCTACCCAATTGGATTCTTTGAATAACCTTGTAATTAGAGGTGGGGCAGAGAGCTGTTTAACCCCTTTGGCAGATGTGGAAAACTGAGGCACAGAAAGGGCAAGGCTTGTCCACAGTCAAGCAGGTATCAGCCGGGCAGCTGGGACCAGAACCCAGGCTCCCCAGCTCCGAGCCCAGGGTTCCTTCTCTGCATCTGATGTTATTAGAGGTGAGACAGGGACCATCATGGCACAGAGAGGGGCTTTTGGTGGGCAGGGCAGAGGTGTGTGCAGTCCCGCTGGAAGCCACAGGTGGTGGCTTAGCTGCTGCAGCCACGGGAGCAGGCGTGAGCCAGAATGTCGTTGTTACACCCGTCCTGGAGCTTGCTCTGGGCCTGGCTCCCGGCTCGGCCTTCTGTGTCCAAGAGCTGGCCGCTCTGCCCTTGCTGCTTCCTCAGCCTGCAGACAAGCACAGCAGAGACCCAAGTTAGTGATGTGGAGCAGGGGATGTCCAGGGACACAGCTGGGGAAGCAGGGCGACCGAGGAGCCTTCATGTCGCGCTGGCCTGGGGAAGCACAACCCCTGAGGGGGCGAGAATGCTGTGTCTGGAGCCTGGCAGGCTGGGATCCACACCCAGCTCAGGTGTGGATCTGAAGAGTTACTCAACACCCAGAACCTCGGTTTCTCTATCTGTAAAATGGAGATAGTAATACCTACATCACGGCTCCTTGTGAAGTCCACAGGAGATCATGTATATAATTTGCCTAAGTTGACACAGTAGGTAAAGGGGCGTGTCCCACACATTATTCGCGCATGTATGTGTAGTGAATGCCCACTGATGGACCAGTCACCATGCCAGGGAGCAGAGGAAACCCTGGCGAGCAAAGCAGTCAGGTTCTCTGTCCTCATCGAGCTTATCACCTGATGGGGAAGAGGGACAGTGATCAAATTGTCCCACAAAGAAATATCTGAACAGATGAGCACCCAGACTTACAAACTACCCCATGACAAACTGTGTTAAGGGAGCACAATTTTTTAAAAAAATTTTTTTCTTGAAGTATAGTTGACTTACAATGTTGTGTTAGTTTCAGGTGTACAGCAGTGACTCAGCTATATATCTATATATATCTCTATCTAACCATCTACCTATCTACTCTTTACATATTCTTTTCCATTATGGTTTATTACAGGATATGGAATATAGTTCCCTGTGCTATACAGTAGGACCTTGTTGTTTATTTTATTTATAGTAGTTTACAACTGCTAATCCCAAACTCCTAGTTTATTCCTCCTCCCTCCCTTCACCCTTTGGTAACCATAAATTTGTCTTCTATGTCTGTGGGCCTGTCTCTGTTTTGTAAATTAGTTCATTTGTATTATATATTTTATTAAAATTTATTTATTTTTGGCTGCATTGGGTCTTCGTTGCTGTGCGTGGGCTTTCTCTAGTTGTGGTGAGGGGGGCTACTCTTCGTTACGGTGCGTGGACTTCTCATTGCGGTGGCTTCTCTCGTTGCGGAGCATGGGCTCTAGGCGCGCGGGCTTCAGTAGTTGTGGCTCGCGGGCTCTAGAGCACAGGCTCAGTAGTTGCGGCGCACGGGCTTAGTTGCTCCGCGGCATGTGGGATCTTCCCGGACCAGGGCTTGAACCCGCGTCCCCTGCATTGGCAGGCGGACTCCCAACCACTACACCACCAGGGAAGCCCCTGTATCATATTTTAGATTTTGCATATAAGTGATATCATATGGTATTTGTCTTTCTCTGACTTACTTCACTAAGTATGATAATCTCTAGGTTCATCCATGTTGTTGCAAATGGTATTATTTCATTCTTTTTTATGGCTGAGTAATAATATTCCATTGTACATGTGTACCACATCTTCTTTATCCATTCATCTGTTGATGGACATTTAGGTTGCTTCCATGTCTTGGCTATTGTTAATAGTGCTGCACAAACATGGGGGTGCGTGTATCTTTTCGAATTAGAGTTTTCCCCAGATATATGCCCAGAAGTGGGATTGCTGTATCACATGGCAACACCATTTTTAGTTTTTTGTTTTTTGTTTTTGTGGTACGCGGGCCTCTCACTGTTCTGGCCTCTCCCGTTGCAGAGCACAGGCTCCGGACGCACAGGCTCAGCGGCCATGGCCCACGGGCCCAGCCGCTCCGCGGCATATGGGATCTTCCCGGACCGGGGCACGAACCCTTGTCCCCTGCATTGGCAGGTGGACTCTCAACCGCTGTGCCACCAGGGAAGCCCAACCTCCTGTCCTTTGTCTACTTGCAGGGACTAGGACCAGGTGCCCAGTGCCTCTGCCTCTGAGGTTTGCAGCCCTCCAGGTAGGACAACTGGGAAAGGTACTCAGGATAAAATATATCATCCTAGCGGAGGAGGGCTCAGGGTCCAGAGGCCCAGAGGCACTGGATCTAGAGGCCAAAGTGAGCAGGGAGGGGAGAGCCTAGGATGAGGAAGGGAGGTGGTCAGACTTCCTCAGCAAGGCTGGGATTGCCTGGGAATCTTGCTCCCCTGGCCCTTTATTCCCTCTCCTACATTCAGAGACTCTCTCAGATACCTTTGGAGAGAAAATCAGATCGGAACTAGGGAAAACTCAAATGACTAAGAAATCTATGAGAGTGAAAGGGAAATGCTTTTACTTCCAAAGTACAAAGGACACTGTTGTTTGGTTCACAATCTGTGAAGCCCCATAATTCTCTGGGTAAATTGCAAGATAAAGATGAATGCCATTAAGATTTTCTTTTAAATGCCTAAACATAGCATAGACAGCATTACTATCTCTAGATTTCTGAACTTCCCCGATTATAACGCAAAATAAAGCTTCAAAGACTGCATAATAAAGAGTGGAGCATAGGGATGAGAGAGCCCTGATGAGGGAGAGATGGATTCTGAAATCTTGTGTAGATCAGGGAAGGCTTCCTGCAGGAGGCAGACTTTAAGCTGGGCTTTAAGGATTGGCCTGGAATGTGTGAAGCTGGAGGGGGCGAGGGAGGAGATTTGAAATGAAGGGACACCGGTGAGGTAAGTCACGGAAAGTAAAAACAATACTGCATGGTGGACCAGAGTCCTTTCTGGAGCTGGATAGTTTCAGCCACTCCAGCTCCTCCTTCTGGCCAGAGCTATTTCAAAGAGTAGAACCAGGGGCTTCCCTGGTGGCGCAGCGGTTAAGAATCCACCTGCCAATGCAGGGGACACGGGTTCAAACTCTAGTCCGGGAAGATCCCACATGCCGTGGAGCAACTAAGCCCATGAGCCACAACTACTGAAGCCTGTGCGCCTAGAGCCCGTGCTCTGCAACAAGAGAAGCCACCGCAGTAAGAAGCCCGCACTCCTCAATGAAGAGTAGCCCCCGCTCACCGCAACTAGAGAAAGCCTGCGCACAGCAACGAAGACCCAACACAGCCAAAATAAAGGAATAAAATATTCTTTTTAAAAAAGAGTAGAACCAGCTGTTTCAAGTCTCCCCTCCTCTATGGAGGGTCATAAGTATTCATAAGAATACTATGACCATGGGTACTGGAGGCCTAGAGTGGTGTCTAAGTGAGGTGTGAATCATGCGCCTTGCAACTTACCACCAGGTGCAGTGTGAGACAAGAAGGCAGAATCCAGAAGGATGGACCCCTCTCTAGACATCCACCCATCCATCCATGGGCTTACACAACTGGATTCGCATCTAGTTAGGGGAGGCTCCAAAACCTGCATTCTTCCCACTACATTTGCATTCCCACCTACTACCAACCATTTAGCATCCAGCCACCAGCCACCCACCCATTCACTTTCTATCCACCTATCCATATATTCATTCATTTGCTTACCCTATTCATCTACCCCATCCATCCAACCATCATCCATCCATATGTCCATCTGTCCCACCCCACCCCCACCTGTCCACCCCTACTCACCTAACTGACCTTCCCTTACTCACTTACTTATTCACCTACCCACCCATGTACCTCTATACAGATACCTATCTATTTACCTCAACCATTCATTATCCATCCATCCATCAACACATCCCTCCATCTACCCTTCTACTCATCATCCAAGTATCCACTTACCATCCATTTCATCTATTCACTATCCACCCATCCATTGATTCCCCCCATAGACCCCCTATTTACCCATCCACCCACACAGCTACCTCACATCACCTGTTCATCTAGTATCCATCCACCCGTCTATCCATCCATCCACCACCCTTCTGCCCATCCAATCATCCATCTACTCCCATATTTCCATTCATCACTGCCACCCTCCCATCTGCTCAATGCCCACCCACCCATTCACTCCCCTATCCTTCCACTCATCCTTTTTACCAGCACTATCCGTGTGCCAGGTTCTATGTTCCAGGCTCACAGTTGAAGGGGCTGGGGAGCAGGACAGAGAGCAAACAGTGAACATTCACTGTGATGAAGTCTTTGCTGGAAGGAAGCAGTATGGCTTGGCATTCAAGGCCTGGGTTTGGAGCCAGGCTGTCTGGTTCTATCCCTGGGTCTGCCACTTACTAGCCGTGTAACTTTGGGAGGCTAGATTCAAACCCAGGGCTCTCTGTCTCCAAGACCCCTGCCCTTTCCACTGACTCTTATGCCTTTCAATCTGGATATGGAAGGAAGGTAGCATGGAATGATTTTTCCACACTCTGAAGGAATTAGAAAGTCTCAGTTTGCTCAAGTAGGAACCCACGAACCAAGACAATGATATGAAACCATATGGTTGGCCCCGAGAGCTCACTTCCATGACTAGCCCAGAGCCTAGTTATGTATAATTCAGGAGGAAACGAAAAAGGATGTTACATATCTTACTAGACATAGCCCAAGTCTACGGAAGCAAATTGGCTAGTTATCTCCATGATGGCAGGAACATTTAATTTTCTTAGCCACTTTATCAAATTAATTGTCAGCTTTGTGACCAGAATTCTGAGTGATGGATGTGAATGCTCTCAACGTCCCAAACTCAAGCATTAGACTCCAGAAGGAAGTGCTCTGTGATGGAGACCCTTGATTAACAAGAACAAAACACATTAAAATTTGTAATAATTTGGGCTGGAGGCATTTTTCAAAGGCAAAGCACTACATAGGACTAAAAGAAAATGGTTAGCAATCAAATAATTTCAAATCAAGCTATTTCACACCCCGAGGGTGGAATCAGTTTCATACCAACATTGATCTGCAGCATCAAACCCTAGGTGCGGCCTGGCCTCCTGTTCCAGGGTGATGACCAGCTTTCCTTTGTGCTGTGTGCTTTAAAAATGGGAAACATTTCAAGTGCCGTCACACCTATTCATGTCATTTCACTGGTTGTATGTCTCCTGGACTGTGTGGAGTCGTGGAGTGGCAGTGTGGCATGGTGGGAGAAGGCAGGATTTGGAGCTGTACAGAATTTGATCAGGATCCCACCTTTGCCGTGACTGGCTGAGGGGCCTGGGGGAACTTACCTAGCTTCC